CAATTGATATACATGTAGGCCACGTGCGTCTACTATTGATCGAAGCTACTGTACAGCTATGGGACACAATAACTGCGAGGTTGGTCAGGAGCCCATAACCCGGAGCGAGCAACTTCCATGCGCACGTGCCATGGTGTTTTCACGGACCAGTTTATTTTTAGAACAGTTTTTACCGCGAGTTTTGAATATCTTTTAAATTTCTTAAACCAGTCAGCAAAACCTACAGACCTAAAAACGATGTTTTTGGCCTTTTAATAACGTTAAGTTTTCCTTTTTGATATCTTATACTTCGAATGCACACATATTCATGGTAGAGATTCTCTTTTCGCGGGAAAATTTGCCCTAAAATGAGTCTAAAAATAAACTGCTCCGTAAAAACGCCGTGAAATAGGCCTAGTATACTAGATATATGCTGTGTGTCAACTGATGAAACATCCAACACTAAAAACACAGTAACACACCACGAAATGGCCCAATAGTACCTTTTTGAAGCTGAAAGTGACTCAAACAAGGTATGGGGGGATATATGGCGTACAAATCGGTAACAGTCCCTGCGCTCATGTAACTGAAGAAAAAGAGAGCCGAAGGTTATTCTGCCTCTTGGAACCAAAACATCTTATGTCTGTAATCGGACAGGTCAAATCATACAGTTTTGGTGACTTATAAGCAAAAAATGAAGGCTGATAAAAACTAATCAGATTGGAGCATTCTGTTATTTACCCGATCAGATGAAAAACAGTTGTAACTTGGGTCGAGGATGGGGAATGGGGGGAGGGGGGTGATGACCAATTTAAAAAAAAAATTGCAGCATCGGAAATGATTTAAAAAGCCTCAGCGAAGGGACAGGAAGAAGTGCGGCTTGTGGTTTCCTAATCAAACATTGACCTCGGAGGTCCGTGTTCAAGGGGAAGAGTTTTTTCAGAAAGGTGTTTTACGTCGTGGACATCAACAATCACAGTAAAACTTCAGTCTCCTTTTCTTTATATTTAAGGTGATTCCCTGGTTTTGCACTGCGCATCTCTTACTGCGCATAACAAGATGGCCGCCGTAAAAAAAGAGCATGTGAAGTAACATTATTAAAATGAGGTTGACTGAAGAGAAACGCTATTGGAATTTTTTTTTTGCGGTTGTTTCTTGCCGAGGTGAGACTCAATGTGTTGGGAATGTGCATAACGTAGGCTGTACGCGACTTCCTCACGCAGATGTAGTTCGACTTCCTCACGCAGATCCTCGATAGTGGATGTTTAACTTGGGCTTACTCACTTTGATTTTTATTTAAACGCTTTCTTTATCACATTGTATCCTAAATGTGATATCTCGATGTAAATTCGATAAAAACAGATTTTTTAATACTTTCTTCCCCCTTTCACATACATTCTATTTTGAAACTCGCCTCAGTCCTCTCAAAAAACTCGGAGAAAATGCATTTGGTGCGCACTTTCTGCAGCTCTACCGCAAAAACGAGTACGGTGATCCCCATTTTTTATTTCATGATTTTAATACGGGCAGTGCTTCCTTTCCATGAGAAAAAAATTGGCACAAATCTATGTTCAGTTTTGTGGAAATTTTACTAAATTGTACTGATTGAGCTATCACGGGTCGAATAGCGCGTGTCCAATTCAATTCTACTTTGGAGCGTAAAATAAAAATAGGAGCATGAAAAGGTATTTCTCTGGTATGTAAGTAGATAAACAATACAATAAAGTCAAATTCTGTGCGATACCACATGCATCATCGAAAAAATCTCTCCTTTTTGTCTAGTTTTGGGCTTCGCGCGGTTTTTGACAAAGGGTCCAAAATAGCCGTATTTCTCAGCATTGTGACGTCAAAACGAGCACGGTGACCCCCACTTTTTATTACTTTTTTGTAATCTTCTTGACTTGTTACATCAGTGTACCAAGTTTCATCTACAATCTATGTTAGGTTCTTTTACTAGGGAATCACCTTAATACAACATAACAAGGCTGAAAGTTACATCATGAACTGAACACTGTACCACGCAACTTGCCCAGATTAGCTACAAGCAGTTGATGTAATCAAGTCGACATAATGATGTAAATCTACTAAATAAATGCTGAGCACTTCTTAAAATAACCATGGCCATGCTATACGTCATTGGCTTGGAAAACGCTCCACCTTCAGGTAGCTAAAAATTCGTTAGATTCCCGGTAGAATAATCCTAGCTTAAAAGATTGAGGGACATATAACTTCTTACCTCCTAACCACAGAACGATGCTGAACAAGTGCTCTGGAACTGATCTGTTTAATCAAGGCACAGCCTTACTTTTACAAAAAATTAAGTTCTCCAGTCAATAAAACATTAAAAAAGCGTGTCACTGTTATTAAGCAATTGAACTATCTGAACCACAGTTCGGGTACTTATATAAGATAACAACAATATTATAAGACGGTCCTGAAGGGAAGTATACCAAATCCCAGTTCCCAACCTAATTTGGTCCAAATCCCATTCCCAGTGGTTGTTTGCCGGAAACTGATGGCATGCACATAATAAATGAAAAACTGCACTGATTGACATCGTCTGGATAGAGGTACATCAGTTCATTTGGAAAGAAAAAATCTCTCATTCTTCTGGACAAGTGAACAATCATTCTCTTCCAACTCTTGTTGGCATAACCATATTAAAAATACTTCTCTCAATCTCACTTTCAACATCTTCATCCGACTCACGCACTATCTCTACTTCGCCGCGTCAGTAAGTTGCACGGTTCAGTCGAAATCAGTTAAAGATTATAGTTTGAATTTTTTTGTGCGGATTACCGCATTGTTTGCTGAACTCAAACATTTCGATGACCATAATTGTGCAAAGTGCGGGAAACATTTTTTAAATCAGACGCCATTTTGATCTTTCTCAAATGGGCATGTCATTTCAGCGACAACAAACCATTGAACAGGGAAGCTGACAGAACTTCATTTATGCATTGCTATACTTTGGTTTACTGATGTATGATTGGATTTCTCCATTTCCAAAAGTAGGCTTATTTGTGCAAAATTGTGTCAAATAATTGTCCAAGTCCTCTAAAGAAGAGAAACCACAATGCCATTTTCAAAATAGTTCATGCCTCTTCCAGTTCAGTAAATCTCATTTTCCCACTCCAAAAAAAGTGAAATCCCAGTTCCTATTTTACCCCTTCGGGACCTTCTTATAACTGTTATGTCACTCAAGGAATAGTAAGTTACAGTTTTAGCTAAAATGGTATTTACTAACTTAATAATCAGGCGGACCCAACGACAGCTTTATCACGAAAATCACCTCTGAAATGCCTCTTTATAGGGTTAATGGGGTTTTTAAAAGCAAAATAAATGAATAATTTGAATCGCTATAAAAATTTTAGGCATACTAGAGAGCTTCGAACATTAACAGACATTTCCTACAAAACGGTCTTTGGGTGCCCCTGACTAATCTGTTGCGATGCGCTTTAGTTTGGAGACGCTTCCGTTTATAACGCGTTCTGGCCTTCCATTCAACGTCATCCACTAGGCCAAATTTAGCCTTTGAAGTTCGTGAATGTATTATCCTTTGACAAAAACGTATATTCATTTGTCTGGACGAAGTAAATTTTCCGTCAATTTGCCAATTTCCCTAGTCGTTACGCAAACAAAATGTTACACTAAGCACAACAAGCTAAGGTATAAAAAATCATTTAGGAAACTGATTTTTACACTTTCAGGGCAAACTCCCAATAGTTAACGCTGAAAAAACTAAATTTGCGCAAAATACTTTTAACAATATGTAAAGTATAAGAATATATAGCAAAATCAACGGTCCAAAACTGTAGATATTTTATGCTCTATAGATTTGTTCTAAGGCAATGATTAACCGAAGGAACACGTGCGTAAGTGAAAGTACCATTTGAGGAACGTATTTCAACATCATCAAAGCAAGCAAAATTTCTCTATCAGCTAATGTGGCTTCGCTGCAATAGTTTTAGGGAGTAAAATAGTATAATATTCACTTTCTTCGGTTACACGAAACCTTTTTTCCTCAGGTAAAATAGACTTTGATATTATAATGTTCCTTGCATTCAGCAGTACTCTTTCTATGACATCTCCCTGCAATCAGCACGGCCCCTGTAAATAAAGTAACGATTGATTAATTAATACGCTTGAACAGCGAAATAACGGCCTCAATACTACTCGTTCTATGGAGGTTTTAAGATAAAAAGCCTTAGATTACAGGATAGCAAGATTGAGATGAATGTAAAATCAAAGTTAAGCAGGAGCTCAAAACCTTTCATTACTTTACAAAAAGAGAGTATGTTAGAGCTACTTGTATTATCTAGCTATATGGTGTAAACACAAAAATGGGTTTTTAGAAACATTTTTTGGTCTATTTTCGGCCTATTTAACCTGCTTTTCTGCTCATAACAAATCATAAAATAAAAGTTTTAACTCTTTTTGACAAATATGACATTTCTCTTTTGAATTGCGTAAAATGATGACTTAATGGTAGTTCAAACTAAAATGTTGAGGCAAAAACTAAGAATTCTCAACGCATAATCCAAAGCCAGTATGTCACGGCAACAGCCATTTACAGTGAATGCTGATTTTGCACTTAATGATATGATTATTGAAAGATTTCTATAGTGTTCAACAAACATTTTTAAACAATTTTGTATCACAGAAATGAAATCTGATTACGTAAATCCAGAATGATTGTACATCAACGAACCATCCATATTATTTTTTTGTTAATATTATTCACACTGTCTTGCTTTTACTGCTTATTTGTATTTAATTTTGTCAATTCCTTTACATTTTAATTTGAAGACAATAAAACCTTAAACTTTATTTAATATATTAGGACCCTACGTAATCTAAAACAAAAGAAAAGTCTGTACTTACAGCTTTCTCAACGGTTTACATCAAATTCAATCGTGACGTCATCGCCAATCAGCACAAATGGAGCCCAGTACTTTTATTTAATATATTAGGACCCTACGTAATCTAAAACAAAAGAAAAGTCTGTACTTACAGCTTTCTCAACGGTTTACATCAAATTCAATCGTGACGTCATCGCCAATCAGCACAAATGGAGCCCAGTACTTTGGGGAGGAAAAGTCGTCCGAATCTCGAAGGCGTTTCATGGCCTTCTGCAGAGCAGTACTGACACTTTCTCCAACTCTCAGGTGTTGGTAGAAACATTCCATAAACACCATTGTGGCTTCATCATCAATTGCCCAGAGTGACGCCAGCACAGAACGAGCACCAGCAAACAAGAAAGCCCTTGCCATACCGACCACACCCTCAGACGAGACCTCTCCTTGACCACTATGGCAACAACTAAGAACCACTAGCCTCGCTCTCAGCTTAATGGCTTGTAAATCAGACATTTTTAACATGTAGTCCTCTTTCGTAGGGATAAGAGTCTTGGATTGCCACTCGGGGTTGGGAGCCAATGCAATTTCACCAGTTTCCTGTCCTCCGTGTGCTGCAATGTGAATCAAAGCAACTGAATCTATTCTCCGAAGCACCTCTTCTTTGGTTGCAGCTTCCCCCGTGAGTGGGTGGCTGTTAAGAAGTTTTCCAATCATCTCCACTTCTTTTTTTGCGAACTTCAGCTGATCATAAATGGGTTTATCCCTTTTATTTGTAACTTTCCTCAAACATGGATCTCCAACAAGCAGGGCGCCAGTTTTACTGTGGTATTCACTTGAAGAATCTCTTATTACTTTCAGACTTGTCAGTGAGGGAATAATACGGATCCTTAAAGTTTCACTTAGGGCTGTCCAAGGAGCTAAACACAAAGCACCATCAGGGACTACGACCAGTTCATCACCATCAAGTAAGTCTTCAATGGGACCAAAAACTATATCATGCAATGGCTGTAACCAGTCGTTATTCTCGTGCGACGGAATCGATGTTTTATCATCACCACGAGTACTGGAAGTTGACTTATCGCTTAAAACATCAAGTGACCGATTCTCGCATCTAACATCTCTGCCAGCCCCAATTTTATTCAAAGAATTATTCAAAAGTGCATCAAAGGGATCTTCGTGTGCACCTCTACTTTTTAGTACTGCTTGCCTAAAAATAGCGTTGGTTTTCTTTCCCAGTACCCACAAGCTTATTGTTTCTTCGTCCAATGCAATAAACATTGTCAAAACAGATATGTTCCTTGAAATGTATGTGAAATCTTCCTCAGTTTCATTTGAAATGGGCGAAAGGGATGTAAAGCCGTAATTTATTTTCAAGGCATCTAGCAAAGCCCCTGCTCGTCCCCGTTCGGCCGCGTACAAAGCCTCATCCGTCTTTTGAAGCCCTATAAGAACTTGACATAAATAACGATAGCTAGATATGAAATGCTTACGAAAACTTATTTTACATGCATCTTCCGAAATGAAACTTTCCCTAATAGTATCAAGCGTTTTTACGCTGAATTTGAAATGAACTACAGCCTCATCCAGAGAACCTGACAACATAAGAGTTTTACCCAAGTATTCATAGGCCATTCCTTCTAGGAACATGTCAGCCACTTCCTTAGCAATTTTGAGCTGTTGCTTGTGGTACTCGATTGCTTGTTGGAATTGTTTAAGGGACCTATAAGCACGGCCGAGAGAGGCATAGGTATATCCCTCTCCACACCTGTTACCCACTTCCTTAGCAATGCTTAGGCTTTGCTTATAATGCTCTATTGCTCCTTCGAAGTCGCAAAGGGATTCATAATCTGAGCCGAGAAGGCGATAGACCGTTCCTTCTCCATTCCTGTCGCCGACTTCTATTCTAATGCTAAGGCTTTTCTTGTGGTGCTTCATTGATTGTAGGAAGTCCTGGAGATTTAAATAACCATTGCCGAGATTGGCATAGGCACGTCCTTGTCCGGCCCTGTCGCCGACTTCTATTGCAATGGCTAGGCGTTGCTTGTGGTACTCTATTGCTTGTTGGAATTGGCCAAGGCTGTGATAAGCATTGCCGAGATTGCCATAGGCACCTCCTTGTCCGGCCCTGTCGCCGACTTCTATTGCAATGCTCAGGTCTTGCTTGTGGTACTCTATTGCTTGTTGGAATTGGCCAAGGCTGTGATAAGCATTGCCGAGATTGCCATAGGCACGTCCTTGTCCGGCCCTGTCGCCGACTTCTATTGCAATGCTCAGGTCTTGCTTGTGGTACTCTATTGCTTGTTGGAATTGGCCAAGGCTGTGATAAGCATTGCCGAGATTGCCATAGGCACGTCCTTGTCCGGCCCTGTCGCCGACTTCTATTGCAATGCTCAGGTCTTGCTTGTGGTACTCTATTGCTTGTTGGAATTGGCCAAGGCTGTGATAAGCATTGCCGAGATTGCCATAGGCACGTCCTTGTCCGGCCCTGTCGCCGACTTCTATTGCAATGCTCAGGTCTTGCTTGTGGTACTCTATTGCTTGTTGGAATTGGCCAAGGCTGTGATAAGCATTGCCGAGATTGCCATAGGCACGTCCTTGTCCGGCCCTGTCGCCGACTTCTATTGCAATGCTCAGGTCTTGCTTGTGGTACTCTATTGCTTGTTGGAATTGGCCAAGGCTGTGATAAGCATTGCCGAGATTGCCATAGGCACGTCCTTGTCCGGCCCTGTCGCCGACTTCTATTGCAATGCTCAGGTCTTGCTTGTGGTACTCTATTGCTTGTTGGAATTGGCCAAGGCTGTGATAAGCATTGCCGAGATTGCCATAGGCACGTCCTTGTCCGGCCCTGTCGCCGACTTCTATTGCAATGCTCAGGTCTTGCTTGTGGTACTCTATTGCTTGTTGGAATTGGCCAAGGCTGTGATAAGCATTGCCGAGATTGCCATAGGCACGTCCTTGTCCGGCCCTGTCGCCGACTTCTATTGCAATGCTCAGGTCTTGCTTGTGGTACTCTATTGCTTGTTGGAATTGGCCAAGGCTGTGATAAGCATTGCCGAGATTGCCATAGGCACGTCCTTGTCCGGCCCTGTCGCCGACTTCTATTGCAATGCTCAGGTCTTGCTTGTGGTACTCTATTGCTTGTTGGAATTGGCCAAGGCTGTGATAAGCATTGCCGAGATTGCCATAGGCACGTCCTTGTCCGGCCCTGTCGCCGACTTCTATTGCAATGCTCAGGTCTTGCTTGTGGTACTCTATTGCTTGTTGGAATTGGCCAAGGCTGTGATAAGCATTGCCGAGATTGCCATAGGCACGTCCTTGTCCGGCCCTGTCGCCGACTTCTATTGCAATGCTCAGGTCTTGCTTGTGGTACTCTATTGCTTGTTGGAATTGGCCAAGGCTGTGATAAGCATTGCCGAGATTGCCATAGGCACGTCCTTGTCCGGCCCTGTCGCCGACTTCTATTGCAATGCTCAGGTCTTGCTTGTGGTACTCTATTGCTTGTTGGAATTGGCCAAGGCTGTGATAAGCATTGCCGAGATTGCCATAGGCACGTCCTTGTCCGGCCCTGTCGCCGACTTCTATTGCAATGCTCAGGTCTTGCTTGTGGTACTCTATTGCTTGTTGGAATTGGCCAAGGCTGTGATAAGCATTGCCGAGATTGCCATAGGCACGTCCTTGTCCGGCCCTGTCGCCGACTTCTATTGCAATGCTCAGGTCTTGCTTGTGGTACTCTATTGCTTGTTGGAATTGGCCAAGGCTGTGATAAGCATTGCCGAGATTGCCATAGGCACGTCCTTGTCCGGCCCTGTCGCCGACTTCTATTGCAATGGTCAGGCATTGCTTGTGGTACTCTATTGCTTGTTGGAATTGGCCAAGGCTGTCATAAGCATTGCCGAGATTGCCATAGGCACGTCCTTGTCCGACCCTGTCGCCGACTTCTATTGCAATGGTCAGGCATTGCTTGTGGTACTCTATTGCTTGTTGGAATTGGCCAAGGCTGTCATAAGCATTGCCGAGATTGCCATAGGCACGTCCTTGTCCGACCCTGTCGCCGACTTCTATTGCAATGGTCAGGCATTGCTTGTTGTACTCTATTGCTTGTTGGAATTGGCCAAGGCTGTCATAAGCATTGCCGAGATTGCCATAGGCACGTCCTTGTCCGGCCCTGTCGCCAACCTCTGTTGCAATGCTCAGTTGTTGCTCGTGGTACTCTATTCTACTCCTTTCTGTCATTTAGCAGTTCTTGTATGAAAAGTGTGGCTGTTTCTTAATGGTAATATACCTAGAAAAGGAAAATATAAAGTTATCATTCTTTCCTGTCTGCTACTTTTCTGTTTTCTTTAGAGTTGTGCGCGTTGATGTGAAGATATGCAGAAAAGTGATTTCTAATACATGTTAAACTGAAATTAGTTCTGGATTGGACCGACAAAAATCTACACTCTAACCCACAGACAGCGGATTTACTGGTTTCTTGTGGACGAATGGCCGACGCGTGTAAAAAAAAAGTGCGGTTTCAAAAATATCAAGTTTCGTGCGGACGGGGCCTAAACCGGAGGTTTGTTGTTGGTGCAGATCACAGATTGACGTAATACGGAATCCTTATCGCTCCTTCGTAATGATTGTCGCTGTCGTCAGCGTACAGTTTGTTTTTAACTATTCAGGATATTGTCTCCAAGTTTCATTTTTTACACGAACAGCAGCAACTAACAATGCATTTGAAATATGCAGAAATCTTAGTTATTGTTTTGCACCAAAATATGAAACTCGGAGACAATAGCCGGAATAATGAGAGGCTCTCGTAAAGACAAAATTTCGACAAAGTAATAATAGTCAATTTTTTATATTGTAGCCCTTATGTTATTCCCTTACAAGTTATCAAAAATATTGAAACTCAAAGGTCATGTAAAATGACGGTTAATCTCGATAATCTCAAATTTTTAAAAACATTTATCATGCGGTTTCAAAATTATTTGTTCAGTTTGGTAAAGTAGAACAAAATATTAAAAAAAACGCCAACAAGAGCACCTCAATGTTTATTACATCTCTTTTTCTTGCGAACGGCTAAAGCCATCCCCATGATCTTTAGAAACACGTTTAAAAGTGAATGAAAGTACTATGAGCCAGAATTACGTTTCAAAATCGCTTCGTTTTCTAAAGATAACGGCCAAATACTGAATACTGAATACTGAATTTCTAACCACAAATACTTCATTCCAAAATATCTTCAAAACGCTCTCATAGATTGCAAAGGTCCTGATTTGAACTGTTTTTGTAGAAAACTTGGTAGGCACTTCATGTAAGCCTTACGTATAATGTCCTGAGACATACGTGGCCTTACATGTCGATGATGTCACAGGTACGAAGGCAGTTGCGTAGTTATTCTAGTACAGTTGCTGTACTGGCTGTAAACTTTGTAGTTTGCTGCAGTTACGTCAATGTAACCCGGCTGATCATAAGAAATTTTTGTCTTTATCTGATACAGTTTTTGTCAATTGTGACGTAGCTAATGCTCAAACATGGGAGGTATTAACGCTGAAAAACCCAATCAAGCCACCTTAAGAAAATGTACAGTGAGTAGCTCTTCAGGCCCCCTCCACCACTTTCCCTGTATATAACACGCTACATTGGTTTCTTTAAACAGCAAAGATCTCAAAGTTACCAGGATAACATCACTAAATACAAGTCACAAGTACCGTACTTCCGTCTATCAACTGTATCAACAGGTAGTTGAATAAAACGAGTTTTAAATCTTGAGGCCTGTGCTTCAATCTTTCAGACAAAATAGGCCAAATGCTCAACTTTAACGCTTTTTGTCAGGGACACTATCAGTCACTTTGAAATGTTACATTAACAGTGATTCGTACACTATCTTTGGGACCTTTGGATCATCTTCAGAAAATCGTTTTCGAGGCATGAAGGGTCATAGCGAGAGATTTTGAAGGTGTACGCACAGGAAGAAAAGTTAGAGCGCGGAACGCACTCCAAAATAGGGAGTCTGGGCGCATGTTTCCTAGAATGCTTTTAAATTGAAGGTCTTGGAAATGTCATTTCTTGCGTTTCCCGCAGAACATTTTGAGTAAATAAGTACGAAGAAAAATGCAGTAGGGGGCAGGGAAGGGTACATTTTTTTCGTTTTTCATCCTACTAAAACGCTTCTTGCCGTCCGTTTATGGAATAAAAAAAGGATAAAGGAAATATTCAAACAAAAACACCCATATAATACGAAAAAGTTATAAGTCACGCGATTAAATTATAAAAATGCTTTCAGGAAATTAAAAAAAGGTCTTTTTTCCAGATTTCAGCCGTACGCACGGGCGTATGTGCGTATATGGACGCTACGATCCTGCAATGTTAGTCATTATTAAGCTCAGCACAATATATAGCAAAAAGGTTTACATTGACAGCCGCTGTTTAGCTTCCTTAACTAATTCACAGAGATTAATTCTAGGTAGATAATAATATTTTTCTATTTTAGATCTTGACGGCATCGATTTTTATTACCTTGTTGTGCATTTTATTCGTAGCCTTAGCCTTTGCAGTTTTTTCCTGCTTTTGTAAATAGTATAATTGCCTAGGCCGGTAGACCCTCTGGACTGTATTTTATTCAGGACGATACTTTTACAATAAAGTCTTCCATAATAATAATAATAATAATAATAATAATAATAATAATAATAATCTGAAATACGTGTCTATATGCTTTTACTTAGGGTTTTTTATGGACACTGGTTTAGCCGTCATTAGTATAATTCGATTGTATGATCTTAATATCTCTGCATAATGGAATTCTTAATTCTATAGAATTTTGAACTTTTATTATTAATTATATCTATTTCCTCTTCCTCTATGTAAGGTTAAGTTACTTCTATCTTTTAGAATTTGTAAATGAATAGTTTTTTTTTCTTTCTTCACTTATTATATATAGGATTGTTTTTGTTCTCTAATGAAGGAATTGTAGATGGCGTTTTGATGAATTAATTAGATTTTTTGTAACAGCAGGTTGATTGTAAATAGGATTTTAATTGAGGTTTTGTAATAAAGATTTTAAATTTTATAATAATAATAATAATAATTATAATAATAATAATAATAATAATAATAATAATAGCTTCTTTGTTTAGAATTGAGCTTAGTTGAAGCTGAACCAGCCAAAAAGTTAGAGTGAGCAAACAAACAATTCATATAGACTTATCCATCCAAAAAAACGTAAATAACAGCTTTCCGAAAGTAGGGGCCAGGACATTCAAAAAATGCCAGCTCAAAAACATAAGAATGTGCCGTTATGGTGATGTGACTCTGGTCAGCGGATACCCTATTTGAGAGCTGTCAATTGACCATAATAGCAGAGCTTCACGCGCGCGGGCAAAGCCCCATAGCTAAGAAAATTTGGTAGTCACTTGATCATACGCCCGACCGTCCGACCGTTCGTCCGTCCGCACCACAGGGAAACCAATGTTAAATTTCACACTTTCTAACTAGTAAGGAAGCCTGCAGCCTGATATTGCACATTCATGTTGTTGCCAATTGACGGCTGTCAAACAGGGTATCCGCTGACCAGTATCACATTACCGTATCGCAGGCTTAGGTGTCGACTCATTTTGTTTGCACGTTTTTTGAAGTTATCCACTGACAATTTATTAGTTTTTAAATGATCGCAGGCTCAAGTTCAAGTTTTTTAAATGCACGGGGAAAAAGTTGTGTTAATAAGTCGTTCTATTAACATTTTGATTGACTCCGGACGCGAAAATTCAGCCAGTTTTTACAGGCGGGCAGGCAATTGCTTTTGGCTTTTCTCACCATGGTCACTCATTGGTCACGCTCTTCGTCCCATTTTCATGCTCTGATTGCTCAAAATTTGACAGGTGAGTTCACGCGGAAAATCTATGCATTATCTGGAAACTTGTTTAGTGATAGCTGAAGCTAACAGTTTTGTGTCATCTTATTCTTGTACAAAATGAAAGACAGCTGCTATCAAGATTCTTTTGCTATTCATGGCTTGTTGGTTTATTAGGTTTTTGGTTGAGAAATGCGCCGCTTTTCCAAGTCATCGGAAATCCGTTTTCTGATGGCATCGTTTTCAAAAATGAGCCTCTACCTAACCTTGCTGGATGCGTAGGAGGGTTGAAAAGTCTGAGGCGATTCTGGCCTTACTTGATGGCTTTNCATTTTGTTTGCACGTTTTTTGAAGTTATCCACTGACAATTTATTAGTTTTTAAATGATCGCAGGCTCAAGTTCAAGTTTTTTAAATGCACGGGGAAAAAGTTGTGTTAATAAGTCGTTCTATTAACATTTTGATTGACTCCGGACGCGAAAACTCAGCCAGTTTTTACAGGCGGGCAGGCAATTGCTTTTGGCTTTTCTCACCATGGTCACTCATTGGTCACGCTCTTCGTCCCATTTTCATGCTCTGATTGCTCAAAATTTGACAGGTGAGTTCACGCGGAAAATCTATGCATTATCTGGAAACTTGTTTAGTGATAGCTGAAGCTAACAGTTTTGTGTCATCTTATTCTTGTACAAAATGAAAGACAGCTGCTATCAAGATTCTTTTGCTATTCATGGCTTGTTGGTTTATTAGGTTTTTGGTTGAGAAATGCGCCGCTTTTCCAAGTCATCGGAAATCCGTTTTCTGATGGCATCGTTTTCAAAAATGAGCCTCTACCTAACCTTGCTGGATGCGTAGGAGGGTTGAAAAGTCTGAGGCGATTCTGGCCTTACTTGATGGCTTTCAGGAGCTGCATCTCGATTGGTAAGCCTGAGTAATTATTGCATTTGATGTTTTTTTTTCTGGTAATTTCATGAAGTCCAGCGTAGTTTTTGCGGCACGTTTTTAAGATTTGAGACAATGATCTGACCCAGTATCATGCCAGGTTTGATATACAGAACTTTAAAGGCCTTTAGACATTTTTTGACCACAAATAGAGAGAAAACGTTCTGAAGAATATTGGTTGTGAAAAAGGAAGCTTTGAAAGATATTCTTGCCTCGAGTTCATCTTGAAAAAGTAGCAAACACCTGAAAGCCGGTTTATATCTGCTAGGTTTCTTATATGACCGTCAGGATTTTCAGAAACACTTCACTCTCAATACCTGCCTTCGTGAATAACAATTGTTGTCTCTGTAAATGTTTCACCGAATTATATTTCTTGTCTTGATTGTTAGTAGTCTCTTTCGCTTTTTTTTAAAATGGCAATGCCGGTTGTTTTCAGTCGTACATGAACATCGCATGCGGGA